CGACATATGAAATCCAGGTTCAGTTTGTACAACCATTACCCATGCACTTCCGTGCACCGGTTTTGGTTGCTGTCATGAAATCCAGGTGGTGGTACTGAATGCCTATACCCATAAAACTACCTCGGGTTGACAGTACATACGTGCAAATCTGTATACGCCCTGATAGATTAATGCTCAGTAGGACAAAAAAAATCAAAAAGGGTAAGAAAAATTGTTGTAAACGATGAAAAAGAAATGTCAGGCCAGGTTAAAATACGGGCTGAAAGGTTACAACCGAGTGCATGTTTACACTGAGCGTGTGCCGTTTAGGAAAGTAAGTCGTTATAATAAGTGAAGGTGTGTAGGGATAATCTCGAATTGGGAGTGGAGTTGGACACAGATCCCAGGATTTCATCATTCGAACAGTGTTCGGCATTATGCAACAGGCATTGGGCAAGGCGATCGCGCTCATTGAAATGCTTACGAACAATGCAGTAACAGGATGATTACGATGTTCAAAACAATTGGTAAAATATCTACCCGACTGGAAAGTAGCAAAGCCCCCGAGACATGATGCATGCAATCGCAAAGTTAAGTAATAAGTATGGAGGATTACCAAGTCTGTATATGTAAAAGAACAAGTTCCGGACTTTATAAAAATATAAAGATTGTGCGAAGAAATAACGCCTTAGTAGTTCGTACGGGTATCTTCAGAGATATTTTGGTTATGAGTAGAAAAACGCGAAATCGGAGGAGAATAGACTGATTGAAACTGATGGGAGCTCACTTACGAAAACATGCCTAAAGAGGACCGCTTGAAAAAAAAATATGGTGTATGGATATCCAATAATCACATCATCTGCATACTGACATTCGATTAAACCACGGGGAAAGAGATATTTGATATACAAAAAAGACTACACAGAACGGCTTCCTGAAACAAGCCAGAATTGATTGGAAGGATCGAAAAAAATTAATGCGTTACGTTTATGAACCCAGTTCGTTGACGGATGTCAATCCAGATGCGATTTCGTTCGGGTTCCGATAAAGCTGCCGTCACACACATTTGTGAGTCCATTTAACGAGCTAATCATTCCTGCAGATTTAATCACTTCGTACTTGAATTCGTGGTAAACGACCTTTGGAAGTGCTTGAACTTGCAGCTGCTGAGGACCATCGAAAAAATGACACATTTGTCACGTTGAATGCAAGTACTTTCCTGCGCATCCTGGTCTGAGATGCGTGTGGATTCGTCAGGTTAATTGATTTTAGAAATTCGTTTATTCACCCACGATTAGTGGGCACTGAACTGTGTGCTATTTGGACCGATGTGGATAGAACAACTATCCACTGCCCCCTGTCACAAATCGTAAATCCCGGTGGATGTTCTTTTTGGATTAATTGTATTCTTTCTACGAACTTCCATACTTATGGAGACCGTAAAAACCCAAAGATTTTTCATTTACCCCCTCCTCTGCTCAGGGTTTTAGTTCTGTACGTGGACGTCGGCAGCCTGATCAAAGTGGTTGTATTCAGTTCTGCCCCTCCCCCCCGATCCGCCAAACTCGATGAGATTTTGTTCTTACTTTGATTCGGACTTTTCATGGGAGCAAAAAAAGGAACAGACAGAAGAATGCTGTGACGCGCTATTCGGATGTACCAGAACACGGTGCCGCTTTTAACTGTGATGAATTAATGAGCTCTGTCAACAAAAGAAATACAACTAAATTACAAACCAATTCTACTGTAAATATATTGTATAATAACTGTGGGCAATAAATACCCTCCTAACCACTGAAGTGCACACAAACAGGAGATAAAAAATACAGTCCCTGTGAAATCGCATGGTAGGTTTATCGAGAGATAATATCACAAACTATGAGCCTGAGTTGATCGCTGCCTACCGAGCGGCTCACGGATCCTTAAATCAAAGGTTTCGGCTTGAATCCCCAGGAGGGTACAGAACGCAGGCACTGAGAACGAGTCCCAACCAAAACAAAACAATTATGCAGTGTTTGCAACCATCGTTGGCAAACGAAATGTGTCGCAAAATTACTCAGCTTTTTAATCCTTGTATGCCAAGTCTCTTGGGCATTTGATTTGAGCGTGCGTACACAGCTAGTCCAAGGTCACTGAAACTACCGGATCTCTATACATTCCCTAATCCATTCCGAATGAGGAACCGATTATCAACCCGATTGGTAAGCACGATTTTAAACGGTCAACAGAAGTCGGGTTGTGTCGTTATTTATGAAATGGTGTACCTTTCTTTAACAACATCGTCCACCATGACCGATGAAAGATCACTTTGCTGTTCACTCATTGCACTTGACCACTTGAATACTCATAAGGAAGCAGGTGTGTTAACTCGCACAACAAACCACTCAATTTTGGAACGAGTCACGTCCGTTTTTTGCCGTCCACCCCGCCCCGCCCGTTATTCGCTCTGCCCAGCGCAAGCGGTTTCAAACGAACTACGTCATTTGAGAGTACCACTGTTGAACGTGACCGTGTGCAACGCCACCGAGGCTTACCGGAATCGACTAACCTCATCCATGTTGTGTGCTGGTTATCTGTCAGGCGTGCGTGATTCGTGCAAAGGCGACAGCGGTGGGCCGTTAATGTGTCAAGCCGGCTCGACAGGGATCTGGCACCAGATCGGTATCGTGTCCTTTGGCAAGCAGTGTGCAAGTAAGTGAACAGGATGATGCTCGACAATGAGAAAATCACGATTTGCTTTAATGCAATTTGCCAGAAAGAAATCACGACCTAAGAGTGCAATGTGACCTGTATATTCATTCATTGAACTCTTACAATTGGATGAACAGTAGCAATAAGTGCATTTTGTAAGGGCTAACATGAAATAGTGAGGAGATTGATGAGCTACATATGGAATGAATATTATTGCCGAAATCCCAAAAATAAATATTCTCATATTTAAGAACTGATAAATTGGTAAAAAAGCACTTTCGGTGGTGTCTAATCGTGGTTGCGAAAATCGTATACCCGACATAAATCTTTACCGAATGCTAGTCATTGATTGCATTGAAGGTCAATAGTTTCTCCCTATGAAAAATGGTGTGGATGAATGACAAATTTACTGTTGGTTGATGTGCGTTTTCTCCATTAGTCAATGGATACCTGTGTCATCAAATACACACATCGTTCAAGGCAGGTGATTGCCACAAGGCTCTAATAGCATGTTTCAACTTCAGAAATCTCTTGCACCGCTGTGAGATCCGACTGTCTGTGAAGAGCGGAGTATCTGTTGTATCGGGTCGATCAGTGCTCCTATACGGCGGCGGGACATAGTCATAACGAAAACAGGAAAAAGATAGACTGCTGGTGTTCAAGCACCGTTGCACCTTCCACTGATGTGAGGACTTTCTGGAAGGCATTGGAAACACGTGTTATAGCGTCTCCTAAATTACCAAGATTCATTGAGTATAATGCATCACTGTAGTCATTCAAAGAAACGTAGGAATTGTACAATAGTCACTGGCTTTCAAAAGAATACTGGTCTGTTACCTGGTACCTTACATTTGGCTATTCAAGGGTCACAAATGTACAATCGAACAAGCACCGAGAGTTTCCCTTTTGAAAGAAACTCCTGGGCTTTTTCATGTTGTACAATGTTCACGCCCATGTTGCGACACACTGTGCACTTTTGTTGCCTGGAGTGATGAATCATTTAGTTGAGAACCTCAACACCAGGAAGTCCGCAAATATCGCAACTTGGAACATTGCTTGTTGTGGATAGCCAGGGTATAATCATGCGCTCCAAGCACCAATATAGTGACACTGCCAATCTTTCTGAAATTTAGCGAACCAGCTCCAGGATTACAATACGATGAATACTGGCCGTCATAGTGGGCGAACCGGTTCTCGCTGCTAGCACCAAAGTCAATGGGACTCTGATCCTTCGAAGCCTGTCATGATGCGCTTCAGATGTTCACTGATAAACATCTGTTACTCGAACCTAGCAGATTCAATCGTTAAGCATTGGTGACAGTAACAGATACGCAACAGCCGCAAGGCTTCCAAGGCTTGATAGTAATAAGAAAGGTGTTGACTTGCTATGACGAATACACCCTCATAACTTGGAAAACAGTAAAATGCGACGCACGTGAGACGAACCGACAAGCTAGATCTACTGGCTAGTCATCAAAACACAACTAATCAAAATGAATACGTGACTACTTTGGTGTCTACAACCTCAGGGCCCCATGCACTGCCTCCACAAGTTATTCATTCCTAAAAGTGTATGTCACCCTTCTTTCATCCTCAAATACAGTGAAGAACACTCCAGGGATCTACAGCAACGTACCCGTGGTTGCGCCTTGGATTAACTCAATTCTGGATGGCGCTGTATTTACATGTTGAACATTATTCAATTGCAGTGAAATAAATCTCATGATCCCCGCATCGTTCAGTGTATGATCTCCAACAATTATTACCTGGTATCGGTCTGATGGTAGCAATCTTTATCGTAACCAGTGATGCAAAGGCCGAAATGGTGGGCACTATCCGATCTCCATAGGGGGGATGAACACATTGAAATAAGGACGATACTTGAATCCCCAGGGCTTAATGTCATCGCTCAGTAAAACGTATTTATGAAAGCCTGATTGATATCAGAATGACTTACAAAGTTATGTCGAATATCAAGGGGTCAATTAGATGAAGGCTAGATCGGCTTTTAGCAATTCTCGTTAACCTAAATAGGCTTCACTCTACTTGATCGGATAACTGTATCCATGTCTCTCTTTTTCGGATAGGTACAACCTAGAACCAGTTAAAACTGTTTAGGTTACTGTAGTCACACGACAGTATTCTAAGTGATCAGGAAAAATGACTCAACAATGCTCCGAGACACTAAGTTTGCGATAATAGAGGTCTGATTCGCCAATGATGTGGTCTTTCAAATGAACAACGGAATACTGACCACGTGATGTCTAAACACTCACCACACGAATTCGGTTCACAGTAAGTACACCTAGATGAAGGCGATGAACATTGATGTAAACGTCCTGAATAATGAGTCAATGATATATCATACTTAAGTGAATCTCGCGCACGTTCGAGCTATTCGCTGAAAACGCCATTTCCTCAAAACCATGTAAATTAGGTAAGCCTACACATAAGCCCATACAAATAAGCCGGTACATCTAATAAACTTTTGTCCCAGATGAGAAATAAAACAGAAAGGAAAAACCCTTGCACGACAAGAAGACAGTTCCGTTCAGTGAACGAAATAAAAAGTACGGACATAGAAAACAAAACAAACCAATTGAAGTAAAAACTGGACTATGAACTTGGCACTAAGGCCTAAGCATTATTAGATAGCACAAGAAACCGGGGATGGAGGTGAGTGACGGGGCATGGGAGGAAGTGTGGAAGCCGGGTGTGGAGATCCAAGTGAGGGAAAGAGATAGGTGGTCTGTGTGCACAAAAACCTACAAGTGCACACGATAACTCGAAAGGAGAAACAAAGCAAAACCGAATAGGAATGAAAATCTAGTATGTGAAGAAAGAAAACAAATCAGAATACTTGCATCTGAAGCCACAAGCAACCGATGGTATCTATGTGTACATACCCCAACACGCATCGATTCACGTGTGATGGATGCGCTTTCCAGCGGCAAACCCACTGGATATCGATACCAACACGTTTTTCAGATTCGCGTTTGGGTATACGAAGTTTAAGAAGATCAATCAGTCGTTTACGATAGAATCTCAAATCCTCCGGAGTTGCGAAAAATGAGGAAACCACAGCGGTTTCACGCATGAGTTAGCAATCCAGTGCAACAAATCGTGATAAATCTTTTTGAACAAAACTGAGAAGTCGTTCGGCGAACGGGAATCACTCAAAATAAATCACAACTGTCTAGTTCTAAAAGGGAATCTGCACAGTCGAGGAGTTCGTGTATCGGAAGGGGAATTAAGAATACTGAGTTAAAGTTCATCACAATTCGGGGAGCATACAACTGAGCCCTGAGAGAATCAGCAAGAAACTAGCAGATGAGCGGTTGAGAAAGCCAACAAGTCCAGTGTAACCTAAGGTACATGTTCTGGTGTAAACAAACTGGCAGCTCTGGGTAAGTTACAGGGAGGATCCGGAAACGGACGGCTGGTCATTGGTAATCTTGTGTCCAGCAACAGATTTCCAAGAGAGTCTTTCACACGGAGGCGACCGGAAGCATAGCGTGTTTCGTGTCGGCCGTCTGGAAACACTGTTTTGGTCGTTCCATCTGGATATATGCGGCACTGGTGTTGGAAAATGGGAATTAAAGATAGAGAAATACATTTTACAGTAAAAAGTTAATGGCATTAAAGGCAAGCAGCAACCTTGAAGGGTTATAAAATGAAGTTGGTTTTAAAATGTCAATATACTTTCACTAAGGCTAATATAATTCTCATACGTGGCAAGAAATCCAGCTTAACAATAAACAGAGTACAACTAACAAGTGGTGAACGACTGGGGGGGGGGGGGTCATGCACATAAAACCTAAGCAAAATACAACAGCAACGTGGTAACTCGCTTTGAAAAGGATCGACAACGCCCTTCACAAAATCGACAACGACGACACTACTCGCTCGGAGTTCTTGTACATTTCCCTGTGCTCTAAGACGCGGCACTAACCTTTACGCCACTGGCCGAATGTATTTCACGTTGCCCGTTCGGAAGTCGAATTTCCCTATCACCATTGGGCAATCGACGAAACTGACGATCACTTGCTCGTTTCACAGTTAGGTCTTTGTTATTCTCGGTGGATGTGTTCGGATTCTCTGGACGAACGTGAATAATCTCCTGACGACCACTACAAAGACAGAGAATGGGGGGATCAAAATCGATAGCAACAAAAAAATTAAAATTTGTTGATTTTTTAATAGTCTATCCCAGAAAAAGCAAAATAAAAATGTTTCTTACTGGGAACACTTAGTTAACTAGACTGGTATTTGATGTGAGTTAATTGCATCGTTTAATGCAGCAGTGGTGTAATTACCAGATAGACACAGAAAACCGTCAGAAAGGTCGTCAACACATAGCGAACAATGGAATTTACAGAAGAGGGGTCTTTTGATGAGCGCATGCTCACAAGAACAAATATTTTAGATTCTCAAAAACCTAGATGTACCTGAATAGCTCACAATTTCTAGCATTTTCTTGTAGATTTTGTTGGAAAACTAAACAAGATCCACAAAACCATCAGAAACACATCAACGTTTCTGTATAGAAAAGTCTAACGTTAACACACCAAAGGCGCTTAGGATAATCCTGGGTTAGTATAAATACACATGTAGAGTATCGCCTTTGTTTTCGATCTGGAAAAGGCGACTAGAAGAGTGAGCACGACGACTTTTAACAAATCTATCATGTTTAATTCCAGAATCCCCAATCACATTACGTCTGTCACCACAAAATGCTACTTTTTCATCGGGTATACGACCGTGAATCGCAAAAGAAACAATAAAGCAACGAAGGTGCATTATTCATTAAGCTCTTTGGAAGCGACAGGTAATTTAAGCGTCAAGACTTCACACATTCCAGGTGTAGCCTTGGGTCAAACGGCGGCGAAACTGACGACTCACAATTCGCTAGCTTTACTCCCAGGAACAGATTGAGATCACTTCCCTCACACAAATGAGTGCGCTCTACAAATCGATTAACGATGGGGACATAGCGAGCGAAAAATATCAATCCTTCATTGATCCGCCCGCGTATCCAATCAAAACGGCCGATTATACATGTATCGTTGTCGTAAAAAAAACAGGTATGTATGTAGTACATAGGGTAGGTATATCCTAGTGAACGGGCGTGTAAAGATGATGGACAAGAGCTAATGAAATTCGAAACTAAGAGTCAACTCCAAATCAAGGTACTTAAAGGGAGGGGTAAAACTGAACCCAACCAAGGCAATTTCAGCTAAATCAGAGGGCATATCTCTACTTTCGAATGCCGTGATGTATAATTCGTCTGAGTTTTTGTCTATCAACAAACGTGAAGTTAGATTTTGAAATGTTTCTTCCATTTTTGTATAAATTGAAACTTCAACTTTCTCACATTTAATAATAATCAGAGGTCTACTAAAAGTACTGGTTTGTCGGTGCAAACAATGAAAGGTAGCTCTCATAAACAAAGCGAATCTGTTGACAACGGAATTAAACTAAGCTGTTAATTAATGATAGTAAGAGTAAGATTATTATTATCATCACTTTCATTATAATGCATCACGAGCCAATGGGCACACTCAATACAACGCGTTTTACACGTGATTCGAAGTTCATGATCAGCGGTATTTTTTATATCACTAGTTAGAAAATAAATGTACTTCTAAAACCACATGCTACAGGAAGATCAGTAGACGCTGGTAGCGAAAGAATGAGGCATATCGAAGAACAGACTGAGTTCAATGATAACTAAGACTTATTAAAATGTTTGACCGCATAGACAACTTACTCGGCGTAATTGATCTCCTCAGTTCCGTCTGGGTGAGTTGTTTGAATAGTACCGTCAGCAGCGTAGTGATAGACCTAGATAATACAAAAATGAAGGTAGCTGCATAGCAACGACGCGAAGGTTTCCACGAGGTCACGAAATATTTTACCAGGAACAGACGAACGGACAACGGCGCAAGTGCATTTCTTCTACATGGACTGAACGATTAATGAAACCGCGCTCATTTTTGCAGAGAAGAATCGTTCTCTTCGAAATTCGAACAGCCCTAATTTTTCAAGTGAATTCTGAGAGCCAACAAGTGAACACTAACCGATAAAAAGAACTTCTGGAGACCCTGTACTACTCAGGTCAAGTCTTTTGAACACTATGTTACACATTCTTGCAAAAAGATTCACACATGTTTTGCTAATGGGTGATTTCAACTGTCCGAACCTCCGCAAACCAATGACTTCCCATCCCTTCTTCGAACAGCAATTCATAAAGCTGATTACCCCACAACCACTGTACAACCACGTGAAACAGCATACCAGNACATGTCCCAACCAACGTAGTCTGAGGTCGACCACTTGCGCAGACTACGTAAGCATCGATTGTCGAAAATCACTACACAAAGGTTGTCTTCCAGCCACAAATTCAAGGTCTCACAACCGTAAAGCAGAACCGAT